TTGATCCCTGTCGCCTAGCTCACTCTGCCGGTGAGGGCAAAAGAGCACAGGAACCCACTGCACGTGCAGTCGAACTCTTCAAAACCAAACGGTGTTGGATGGAAGCCAATCACCCGGATGGTTGTCCCTACCCCCCGGAGATCTGCAACTTTGCCCATTCCTCTGAAAGTCTGCGGCTACCGCCCGCAGATTCTCTGTCTAAAAGGCCAACGATAAATTAAACTATGTACACAATCACCGTCTTTCTCTCTCTCCCTAGGTATCAGTTCTCGAATACTGAATATCTGGTGGCTCGAGCTCAGTGCTGTCCGTCACAGATTATAGGGATGAGTAGTGTTCTGCAGTCCAAAATAAATACGCCAAAACCACTTCATCATAAAGCAAATGTATAGGATCGGCGGTATCGAAAAGAAGCGGTTAGAGGTGTCGGTGAAAATCTCCAAAGAGGCTGCATAGAGTGAGTGGTGCTAGCTCGCTTCCTTTAATCTCTTAATTTTGAAAAATGCATAATAGCAGTTCTTCGGTACGAGTTAGGATTTTTGCTAAAAGCAGCGTGTCGCCTGTTTTCCATTCATTGCATTAATTATGTATCCCTGGCTGGGTGGATGGTCGTAGTAGCAGTCATGAGGTGGCGACAGACTTTACTGAGCTGTGGAACGTACAGTTCACCCGAGAGCATGTTAATTTTTATATGTAAAAAAGAAGCAGGGTTTCTTCAGACATGGATTTAGAACACGTACACTTAAAAACAGTTAGGCTAAAAAGTATAGAAGAGCAGGCAGACAGAAGACAATTTGCCCTTTTTCGTTCGGGTGGTTCGACGAGACTGGCTTGCATTGGTGGTGGCGGTCGATTCTTCCTGCGGTTCGTAGGTGCCGGCTGTGGCATGTACTTGTTCGACCATTGAGTTCGATTACGTCCAATATATGCCCAAGAGCAGAGATGGTGACTATATTCAGGTATAGTGACAGTAGACGAGCAGCCATCTATTACACTCCGAACCCTCTCCCCGCTTGAACCGGTGACAAGACAAAGTCGAAATGACCGAGCAGGAATCGGGTGTACGCCGCTTTCTCCAATGCAGGCCAGAGCACCGCCTAGCTTAGCCGTATGTGAGAGTAGTCTTTTCCGCTGGTACCACAGAACTATTTACCCTCACTCACCTTCAGTAGGTGTCAAGCCAAACTCAAGGAAACCAAGGCTGGTACTGCTACTTACTAGAATTGCAGCTGAGTGAGTGCCGGTACTATTACTGACGCTAATACTTGGTCAGAAACGACGCTGAGTAGAGTCAACTCTGGGCTCGTGTTTCCTCGAACTCAACTAGGAGTTGGGATCTGGATTTATGCTATTCCGAGTAATGTAGATGTTTGAGGCTCGGAGCGCATCAATACTTGCCGTGGTTTTTAACCCCTACTTCTATTCACCAATTCTATTCTCTCTTAAAGTGTACACTACGAGAGCTAGGACACTGTTGCTAGAAGTAGTATGCCAATGCCAGGGGTGCTAGTAATCATGCTTACTAAGGTCAGTAATTAATATACTACAACGCGGCCTGTACGTGTATTTAGGAAATTTGAACCTACTATATCGCTGTAGTCTCTATTGAGATTATAGTAAAATGAAGGGTTAAAGGAACGTGCATATTATAATAGCTGAAGATCAACCATGCATTTAGGTCGTAATAAAGGGGCACTTGACGTTTTTACAGGCTATCTTTGACTGTCTACAGTGCCTAGCTCTAGCTTAGAATTTACGGAACATTTACACTCCGCGTACGGCACTAAAGGACAACGGTATGACAACACAGTGCAGCAGGAATAATACAATATTAGTTATGACGGTGACACTAACGGTTTTAGTTCGCATAGTCCAGAGAGAACTGGTACCGTATTAAATCTAACGAGCACGTAAATATACACGTAGGAAATCAACTCCAGATAGGAATGATATGGGAGACGGGCTGACTAATGCCTGTCAATATCCGGCGACTAAATCTAGTATCGAGAAAGCCCGATTACTCTACATGGCATCCAGGGTTTCGTCTGTCCGAGCCAAAGGAGAATCATCGTTTCCAGTCACTGAATGAAGCTTTTGATACACAACGCACAGCTCCAGGGTACCGTCTCTACCAGTCGTGAGGTGGTGACAGGCTTTGAGCTGAGAAAAGTACAGTTCACCATAGAACATGGTCAGTTTTATATGTAAACTAAGCAGGGTCTCTTCACACATGGACGTAAAAGAGGTACACTTAAAACAGTTAGGTTAAAAAGTATAGAAAAGCAGGCAGACGGAAGACAGCAGACTATTTGCCCTTTTTCGTTCGGGTGGTTCGGCGCGACCGGCTTGAACTGGTGGTGGTGTTTGATCTTTCCTGCGGCTCGTAGGCGCTGGCTGCGGCATGCAGTGCTTCTATGAATCCATCCAGGCGCTTTATCCTAGGGTCCACTGCTCGAGAAAACACATCAGTGTAGAAGTACTTGAAACGACTGGTTTCCAACTCCACAATCTGATTGCGAGTCAACTTTTCGTATGGTTGGCCAAGTTTGACATAAGGACAGTCTGGAGAGTGCTTCTCGTGCTCCTTCCAGGGATCTTCCTGTAGACATCAAGGAATAAAAAGTGACACATGACAAGGAGTTATTTGAATCTGTTTTTTTGGCCGAGGAACACTTGCGCAGCGTCTATCACGCCAGATTCTCTCGCCTATTACCTTCTAATAGTAAGACGGTGTTGATGCTTGGAGATGCGGTCCGACCTTCGATGAGGATTCCGACCGCTGCATGCGCGTTGACCGACCCTTCTGACTTATAGGACCATTTAAAGTCCGAAGCATGCTAATTGGGACGAAATTGGACGCTATGACT